GCATGCATTTAAATTATGTTAAATTTTTTTGTGTGTCATAGTTTAGAAAGGTCTCTGCCATTCTGAAGATTCTTTTTCTCTCTTTCTTTTTTTTGATTCTTTTTCTCTTTTATCGTTCTTCAAGTGCTTCCTTTTTTTTTTTTTTAAGATTTAATTTTTAAGTAATCTCTACACCCAACATGGGGCTTGAACTCACAACCCTGAGATCAAGAATCACATGCTCTATTGACTGAGTCAGCCAGGCACCCTTTTTTGGTAAACATTTAATTTTTTGATCCATTTGGAATTTATCTTGGTAGATGGGGAAAGGTGCATATCTGTTGGGAGTCAATTGTTCATGGAGCTCTCATGTTTCTGTGCATCTTATGCCAGTTAACTTTTCTTCTGAACTCTCTTTTTAGGAATTTTTTTTTTAGTGATTGGCCTCAGGAGATGGGAATAGCATCTCCATACAGGTCAAATGGCACATTTGTTTGCTATCCCAGATAATAAAGATGTTTCTCTCTAGGTTAGGGTTGCTAGCAGTCCCCGTATGAGATGGAGGGTTTCTTCAACTCAGAGTTCCTCAGCTGGGACACTGTGGTGTGTAGCATGCCCCTGGATGAATCTCTGCATCACTCTCAGGGACTTAGGGAGCAAGAGGAACTGATGCAGTTTTGGAGCTCATGCTTCTTTTGTCTTTGACCCAGGAGTCTCCTGTCTTCTGAGAGCATCTGAAACCCTAGCAGGCTAACTTGTTGGCTTGCAAGCAGGGTAAAATCTCTGGCTTGTTATAATTCTTGACAGGATTTATTTCTATTTTTTTCCAGATGGCTACATTATAACCACATCACCATTTAAAAAAAAATCCACAGGGGCGCCTGGGTGGCTCAGTGGGTTGAAGCCTCTGCTTTCGGCTCAGGTCATGATCCCAGGGTCCTGGGATCGAGCCCCGCGTTGGGCTCTCTGCTCAGCGGGGAGCCTGCTCCTCCTCTCTCTGCCTGCCTCTCTGCCTACTTGTGACCTCTGTCTGTCAAATGAATAGATAAAATCTTAAAAAAAAAAAAAAATCAACAGTTCCACCTTTCCCAAGTGATTCTACATGACAACTTTGTTATACACTAAATTTTTGTATGTGTGTAGGCTCATTTCTAGGCTTATATTCTATTTCACTAATCTGTCTATGTGTGTGCTAGTATATACTTTTAATTTTTTCAATTAAAAAAAGTTTTTTAGGGGTCCTATTTTTTTTTAAAGATTTTATTTATTTATCTTGAGAGATAGAGAGAGAGCACATGTGAATTAGAGCAGGGAAAGGGGCAGAGGGAAAGAGAGAATTTCAAGCAGACTCCATACTGAGCCAAGAGCCCAACATAGGGCTTAATCTCATGACCCTGAGATCATGACTTGAGCTGAAACCAAGTCAGATGCTTAATCTACTGAGCCACCCAGCCACCCTAATGTTTTAATTTATTTTAAAATGGAAAGGAAAAAATAATTTTTAAGTCCAATAAAATGTTTTCATATATAATATGAATATATTTGTCTTTAGTCCAACACATTAAGTCCAATAAAATGTTTTCATATATAATATGAATATATTTATATTTTTTCCAACACAGTTATAAAACATAACTTTGGTATTTGTGGAGGAAGGGGCCCACAAAGGCAAAAGTGCCTATGGCCCAGAAAAGCCATAATGTGGTCCCACTGGCCGGTGCTGCCACTCAGTAAGGGTAGGGTAAAGGCACTTTTAGTGGCTGTAATGGACAGCGCTGACCTGAGTGTGTACATTTGGGCCAAAGCCCTCCTGGGGCCATACACCCTGGGAATTATGGGAAAGGAAAAGAGAAAAGCGAATGGAGTCATGAAATAGGAGCCCTTCACCCTCTGCCCTTGGGAAGACCAGACCAAGGGACAGAAATAGCCCTATACCTTAGACGATCCCTAATCTGAGGAAAAAGCTGATCCTCAGGGGGCTCCAGTCTGAGGGGAGTTAAAGCCCTGTCCTTAGGGAGTCCCAGTCAGAGGGGGGAGACACAGTTCTGCCCTGGGATCCTGGTCTGAGGGAGGAGCTAGTATATACTTTTAGAAAACAGAGGCGGGGACACCTGGGTGGCTCAGTGGTTAAGCGTCTGCCTACGGCTCTGTCATGATCCCAATGTCCTAGGATTGAGCCCTGCATCGGGCTCCCTCCTCAGCGGGAAGCCTGCTTTCCCTTTCCTAGTCCCCCTACTTGTGTTCCCTCTCTCTATGTCTCTCTGTCAAATAAATAAATGAAATCTTTTAAAAAAATAAAAAACTAAGGGGTTTATAATGTTTAATATCTGATGGAACAAATGGTCACTTACTCTCTTTTTTTCCAGAATTTCCGTGGAACTTCCTGAATGATTATTTGCCTGTGAAATTTAGAATCAGCTTATTCAGTTAAAAAAAATCCCTTGCATTTCATTAATGGTAGTGTCAGACTTATAAATTAACACAGGGAGGATTAACATCTTTATGATGCTGAATCATCTTATTTAAGAACATGCTATGCCTTTTTTAAAATTCAAGTCATCTTCATATATATGACATCTATTCACTTCTAAATGTGAATTTTATACTTACTATTTATAGAATTTTCTTCTTAGTTTTTGGTAGTTTTTCCAATAGATCCTCTTGGATTTCCCAGTTTTATAATTACAGCAATGGAAAATGTACGTAATTTTGTCTTCCCTTTTAAAACTTCTAATTCCTTTCTCCTATCTGTTTGGTTTGTCTCCTTGACTTGTACCTCAAAAAAATAATGTTAAATAATAGTCATGATAGTAGAAAGTTATTGAGTATTTACATGCCTTGTAGTATATAAGTACTTTATACCTATAAAGCTATTTACATCTCATAGCAAGGAGCCTTAAGAAGTAAGTCTCACCATTATCTACATTTATGGAAAGGGAAACTCAGCACAGAAATACTAAGCAAATTGCCCACAGTCACATGGGTCCTAGGTGGCAAAGTTGGGATTTGAACCTTGTGGTTGAATACCAAAGTCCATAAAGTTTATCATTTTCCTGCAATGCCTCTTAAGAGAAATAAGAGTAAATAAATATCCTTTGTTTATCTGACTTTGGTGGAAATATTTCTGGTGGCTCCCATTAAATATGATAGTGGCTTTGTGTCTAAGATAGATATACAGAATTGTGTCAAGGATTGAGAGTTTTCTGAAGAACAGATGTTCTTTGCAAGAGTTTTTTCAGCGTCAGTGGAGATGATCTTAGTTGGCTTTTTCCCTTGGATCTATTAAAATGAACTAAGTTAATAGAGTTCCTAAAATTGACTCACCTTTGCATCTCTGGAATGAAGCCTACTTGGCCTTGGTGTGTTATTTCTTTGATGTGCTGCTGGATTCTGTTTGATAATATTTTATATATGATTTCTGCATTTATATTGATACATGAACAGGCAAAGCTTTATAAGAGAACAAATAGGAGGGAGGAGAAAAAAAATTTTTTTTTTAAAGAGATTTTTTTTTTTAAAGATTTTATTTATTTATTTGACAGACAGAGATCACAAGCAGGCAGAGAGGCAGGCAGAGAGAGAGAGAGGAGGAAGCAGGCTCCCTGCAGAGCAGAGAGCCCGATGTGGGGCTCGTTCCCAGGACCCTGGGATCATGACCTGAGCCGAAGGCAGAGGCTTAACCCATTGAGCCACCCAGGCGCCCAAGGGAGGAGAAAATTTTAGCTGGAGGCCCCTTAGCGGAGATGAAGGGCACCTGGGTGACAGCTAACAGAGGCAACACTTAACATTTGCTCAGCAAAGAAATTGATGAGAAGGTGGGGAGTTTCAAAGCAATAAGAAAAGTATTGAAGAGGAACTCCATCTATTTATCCAAGTTTCCTAAGATGTGTTTTCAAATAGAAAACACTCCTATACCTCCTATATTCTCCTATTGTATATATGCTTTCTCTTCAGAGTTTTCAGTGGTCAGAAGGAAAAAGCTGGCTGGAGTTCCAGTTCTAGTCCCTCACTATTAGTTACTAATAAAGGAATAATCAGATGATAATTGAATCATTTCCTAAACATAGTGGCCATGGTAGAGAGTTCTCCAGTCTTCAGTGAAAAATAAAAGAGGGTAACATGTCTACAGCTGGAGCACAAGGCTTCATTTCATTGTGGAAAAAAATTGAAGAACTACCAGGATGAGAAAAGAAGAGGACTAAGTTGACAGAGGTCAAAATAATGCTACTAACTGCACTTAATTCTTTTTTTTTATGAGTACTTCTGTATAAAATACTGCATCAGTGTTGACGCTCAATTCTGTCCTTCACCAAGGACACCAAGGAGGAGAAGAGAGCTCAGATCTTCTAAGGAGGACTCTGAGGGCTGCTCTGCTATCTCCCCAGGCAGGGTTCCTCAGTTGAGAGATGATGGAGTCACCAGCATCAGAATCTCCTGGGGTGTTTGCCAAAGTGTAGGTTCCCAGGCCCTACCTGGGATGAGACCCTGAAATCTGAATTTTTCTTAAAAGCTAGATGATTCTGATGCAGATAGTCCTAGGACCTACCTCATTTTCTTTTCTTTCTTTTTATTTATTTATTTGTCAGAGAGAAAGACACAGAGAGAGAGAGCATAAGCAGGGGGAGAGGCAGGCAGAGGGAGAAGCAGGCTCTCCACTGAGCAAGGAGCCCAATGTGGGACTTGATTCCAGGACCCCAGGATCATGACCTGAGCTGAAGGCAGCCGCCCAACCGACTAAGCCACCCAGGTGTCCCAGGACCTCATTTTCAAAATAGTTTATGAGAGATGGTTAATGTCTCCATTCTATCTCATATAGAATCAAAGCAAAATGCTACATTTTAAGTATATCATGGCTTAGATCCAGGCCCTGCCTCCCAGAAAGATGTTTACATACAGACTATGATACACAAATGCATACATACATGTACAGACTGTGATAATCCCTTTCAGGATTTTTGTGCAGAGAAAACCAGACAAGTTGATATTACTGAAACAAATTCATCTCAAAGTAGACAACTGACCTTTCAGGATCCATATGTTTCTGTGCATAAAATTCTTCAGTCAAATCCTAGATGTCAGGGCTGCTAAATGATGCATATCCTTTCACACCTTTTAGCGGGCTGAATACCAAAGGGAGAAAGTTCCTGTGGGCGTCACCATAGGGCATCACAGGAAGACAGCTGTCTCTGGCTTCTAGTCAACAATCTGCAATGAAAAATGAATGTTTCAGTACTTCTGAATAGCCTGCTTAATAATTTGAAAAGCAGAGCCCATCTCTCTGATGTTCACTAAGCATTTTTGGCAAGTAATTTGGACACATTTATCTTCTCTGACATTGCCTAATGGAGCTATCTACTTCTCCTGTGTATGTTGAAAGTGACTGGCTAAAATGTGCGCTTTCTACACTCTACAATAAGGCCATCAAAAGAAATGAAATCTTGCCATTTGCGACGACGTGGATGGAACTAGAGGGTATCATGCTTAGCGAAATAAGTCAATCGGAGAAAGGCCATCTACACTTTACAATAAGGTGTGTGTGCACTACAGATGGAAGCAGCCCACGTTGGGCATCCGGCCTAAGATGTTAAACTAACCATTTCTCCAGTAGCTATTCACAAGGGTATTTGTTATTTTAACCTCTTAAGTAAGGTCTTAGATCTTTCAGGGCTGGTCTCTAGGAGTCAAAAAAAGTTTTAATCCAAGACTGCAAAAATATATTCTGGTTTAAGAAAGTACTTCATTTTAAACTGAGTAGGAAACAAATATTAGAAGTTAATTAAAAAGAACACTACAAGTGCTTTGCCAGTGTTTCGATTCCTGAACCTGGAGAAAGTGGTCACAGTAGAAAAGTGTGACTTCTTGGGGCATTTATATAAAGAGCTTTAAAACTGGCATAATGATCTCAGAAGAAGGAGAAGAAAAAGAAGGAAGAAGAGGAAAAGGTGGAGGAGGAGGAGAAGGAGGATGAGGATGATACCTAGTAGGATTTTTTTGTCCATAATATCTTTTGACTAGAAATTAAGAAAAAAAGGGGGTGGGTGGGTAGTAGGAAGCTGGAAAAAGGAAGAAACCGAGACCTATGCTTGGATTCATTTCATCAGTCCTCAAATTCTTCCAAGAAATGGCAGAAACTTGTAAAAGAAAAGGTGAAGCTGTGGATTTTCATCGGTACAGTCAAGTATGTACAGGCTCCTTCTAACTACTTGAGGAGAGATAATTCTAGGAGACAGACTGCTTTTTACTGTAGGGGCATGTTCATACTCTGATTATAAACTTTTGGCATGGCAAGGCTTCCCATACCTGTCTTAACCAATTCATACCTCCCAGTTCAACACTCAACACCATCAATTTAATTTTTCATTCCAAGAAAGGTGATAAAATCGAATATCACTAAAATTGTTCTTCATATAAAAACTTAATTGCATTTTATCCCATTTCATAGAATCCTTGAATAGCTATTGAAAATTGAGTAACTAGAAGTTACAGATGGACATATATTTCAATCATCTGCCATGGTAAGTGTAGCAAATAAATGTTCTTGAGAGACTCTTGTCTTTCAAGATGGATTCCAAATGTAAATGCTACATGTTAGAATTATTAGGGTTAGAAAATATTCAGAGGAGGCACCAGGAAAGTCAGCCGATGTATTTTCTTGAATTGTGACTATTCTCATTCAAGCACAGAAACAGGGTTTCTAGAGCAATCTTTAAAACTCTTGTTTTCGTTCTGCTTTTTAAGTATTTACTTCCAGTACTTTGTGAAAATTACAAGGAAAAAAAAGAGGATTTCCATTTCTATTCCTACCCCAAAGCTCAGGCCACTGGTTGTACTTCCTCCTCCTTGAGAGAATCAACTTTTGGTACAGGACCTTCAGCATCTGTTGAAGTGACTATGTGACAACATGGGAAATGAGTAGAATATAATAGTAAGTGTAGAAATCAAGGTTCAAATTGGATTCATGCAATGGTTGCAATTATGTTGAAATTATACATATGTGCAGATAAGACTAGAAGAAGACATAGGAAAAGTGAGGTCAAATGATCTGTTGGGAAGTAAGGTTTGGGATGAATAACTTCTACTTTTTTTTTTTGTAACTTCTATTTTCAAATTTGCAATACTGTTGTTATTATATTGTTTGTAAGATAAATTCCTTTAAAAAAGAATCTGATTGACTTGTAAACTGAAAACTATAAAACCTTGTTGAAATAAATTAAAGAAAAACAAATTAAGGGCACCTATGTGGCTCAGTGGTTAAGTGTCTGCTTTCAGCTCAGGTCATGATCCCAGGGTCCTGAGATTGAGCCCTGCATCAGGCTCCCTGCTCAGCAGGAAGCCTGCTTCTCCCTCTCCCACTGCCCCTGTTTGTGTTCCCTCTCTCGCTGTGTCTCTCTCTATCAAATAAACAAACAAATAAATAAATAAAAGAAAAACAAATTAATGGAAAGAAATCCAGTGTTAATGGATGGAAAGATGTAATATTATTAAGATGTCAGTACTATCCAAGGCAATCTTTAGGTTCAAGGCAACCTCTATCAAAATTCCAACAACGTTATTTGCATAAATAGAAAAATCCATGCTAAAATCATGTGGAATCTCAAGGGATCCCCAACTAGCTAAACAATCTTGGAAAAGAAGAAGGTCTCATACTTTCTGATTTCAAAACTTACTACAAAACCACGGTAATCAAACCAGTGTGGCATTGGCATAAAGACAGACATGTAAACCAATGGAATAGAAAAGGGAGCTCAGAAATATACCCTCTCAGGACGCCTGGGTGGCTCAGTTGGTTAAGCGGCTGCCTTCGGCTCAGGTCATGATCCCAGCGTCCTGGGATCGAGTCCCACATTGGGCTCCTTGCTCGGCGGGGAGCCTGCTTCTCCCTCTGCCTCTGCCTGCCATTCTGTCTGCCTGTGCTCGCTCTTTCTCCCTCTCTCTCTGACAAATAAATAAAATCTTTTAAAAAAAAAAAAGAAATATACCCTCTCATATACAGTCAAATGATTTTCAATAAGGAGGCCAAGACCAATGAATGAAGGAAGGACAGTCTTTTTTTTTTTTTTAATATTTTATTTAGTTATTTGACAGACAGAGATCACAAGTAGGCAGAGAGGCAGGCAGAGAGAGAGGGGCAAGCAGGCTCCCTGCTGAGCAGGGAGCCCGATGCGGGGCTCCATCTCAGGATCCTGGGATCATGACCTGAGCCGAAGGCAGAGGCTTTAACCCACTGAGCCACCCAGGCACCCTGGAAGGACAGTCTTAATTAATATTGTTGAGAAAACTGGATATTCATATGCAAAAGAATGAATTCAGGCCCTTACTTTATTCCATATGCAAAAAATTCACTCAGTATGGATCAAAAACCTAAATGTAAGAGCTGAGAGATAAAACCACGAACTCTTGGAAGAAAATATAGAGGAAAATATTTATGATGTTGGGTTTGGCAAAAGTTTTTTGGATATGACCCTAAAACACAAGCAATAAAAGAAAAAATACATCAGTTATACTACATCAAAATTAAAACGTGTACACCAAAGGACACTATTAACAGAGTGAAATGGTAACCCAAGGAATGTAAGAAAATATTTGCAAATCATGTATCTGATAAAAGATTGATATCTACAATGTATAAAGAACTCCTACAACTCAACAACAACAAAATAAACAACCTGACTAAAAAAATGGGTAAAGGACTTGAATAGACACTTCTCCAACGAAGAAACACAAACGGCCAATAAGCACATGCAAAGATGGTCAACATCATGAGTAATTCGAGAAGGGCAAGTCAAATCACAATAGGATACCCGTTCATAATCATTAGGATAGCTGTTAATAAAACAAAAATAAAAAAACAGAAAACAAAATACATTATCAAGGATGTGGAGAAATTGGAACCCTTGTGCACAGTTGGTAGGAATGTCAAATGGTATAGCCATTTGACAGGATGGCAATCTCTAAAAAAATTGAAAATTGAGGGGCGCCTGAGGGGCTCAGTTAGTGAAGCATCTGCCTTTGGCTTAGGTCATGATCTCAGGGTTCTGGGATCCAGCCCTGCATTGGGATCTCTGCTTATCAGGAAGTCTTCTTCCTCTCCCTCTGCCCTTTCTCTACTTGTGCTCTCTTTCTCAAATAAGCAAATAAAAATCTTTTAAAAAATTGAAAATTAGGGATGCCTGGGTGGCTCAGTAGCTTAAGTGTCTGCCTTTGGCTCAAGATATGATATTAGGGTCCTCAATCGTGCCCTGCATTGGGCTCCCTGCTCAGCAGGGAGTCTGTTTCTCCCTCTCCCTTTGCCCCTCTGCCCACTTGTGCTCTCTCTCTCAAATAAATAAATAAATAAAATATTTTTTAAAAATTGAAAATTGAATTACCAAATGATCCAGCAAATCCACTTCTGGGTACATACCTAAAAGAAGTAAAAACAGGGATTCAAACAGACATTTACACACCTATGTTCATAGAGGCATTGTTCAAAATAACCCAAGGTAGGAGCAACTCAAATGTCCAGTGACAATGCATGGATAAACAAAATGTGGTACATACATACAAAGGAATATTATTCAGCCTTAAAAAGGAAGGAAATTATGACACAGGCTATAACATGGATGAACAGTGAAGACATTACGCTAAGTAAAATAACCCAGTCACAAAAGTCATCACACTGTATGATTCTTCTTATATGAGGGTCTTAGAATAGTCAAATTTATAAAGCTGCGAAATAGAATGTTTTTTTCCGGAGTTGGCAAAGGGGAAAATGGGGAGTTATTGTTAAATGGGTGTAGAGTTTCAGTTTTACAAGACTAAAAGAGTTTTGGAGATGGATTGTGGTGATGGTTGCTCAACAAATTGAATGTACTTAATATCACTGAGCTGTACACTTTAAAATAGTTAAAATGAGGGGTGCCTAGCTGGTTCATTCGGTAGAGTATGAGCCTCTAGAATATGTGAGGCTGGGTGTAGAGATTACTTTAAAAAATCTTTAAAAAAAATAGTTCAAATGATCAATTTTGTTATGGATACTTTACCACAATAAAAAAAAAGTCTGATTAAGTGCACATCCTAACTCTCTCATCCTAGGCAGTACCTCCTGAGGTCCTGTCCCTTTCTTTTTCTTTCTTTTTTTTTTTTTTAAGTATTTTATTTATTTATTTGACAGAGAGAGAGAGATCACAAGTAGGCAGAGAGGCAGGCAGAGAGAGAAAGGGAAG